TAAGACCAATGGGAAGAGGATTGCAGGATTAGGGGATGAGAAAGCCAATGTGAGGTTTGAAGAGTTCTCAATAAATCCGCTAAAAAAGGCACACTACACCACATTAAAATAAGCAAAGAAATAGGGATAGTGAAGGGGTGATACGAGTATAAATGATTGGTGAATGGCCCAGGGCAGAAGGAGAGATACCACAAGTGTTTGGTAGACAACTGGTCAAAGGGTCGACTTCACTTGTCTGTTCGACGAGATGTAGTGTGGTGCTAAGAATAGCAAAGCTCACTGACGATGCCAGAAAAACGTCTGGGAATGTACCATACCTATTGTCCGACTATGGAAATTATCATGCATACTATGGACTCCGGAACAAATGCATTCCTCTAGGTCTTCCTACCAATATGACCAAGTTGAGCAAACAAGGTCAAACAACTAAAAGTGACTGCTACCATACAAAAGACCACATCATCTTTGTCTTCATACTTTCGAGATAAAAAAAATCGATTCATAGTATGGAACTATCAAAACTGATAGATTGTAAAAAAAGAAAGGCTATATTAAATTCAATCAAAACGTCATGTATACTCTTATCATTATAAAAAAAATTCAGCTGCAGGTCCCCGTATCATCCTAAACAAAATAGGATGAATACACCTCATATATATGATGTACTACTAGCCTCAAAAGCCTAATAATAAAAAGAAAAATAAGAAAAGATCTTATATGGACATTTAATTACAAAAACCGTAAAGCTCCCTTAATGTTCACCTTTGAGAGTATCACGATTGCGTTCCAAGGCCTCGCGAAGCCTTCGGACACCAGCAGCTTCCGCTCGTAACGGCGCTACCTCTTCCTCAAGGCTCACGAGATAAGCTCGCATTTTGCGCTGCCCAGCTTTCGCCTCGCGCAGGCCGTTGCTGGCTGCCTCGTATTGGCGCGTCAACTCAGCGTGAAGACGCTGCAGATGTGCATGGTCTGAAGAAAGACGCGACTCAATCAGTTGATGGGCGTCTAGAGCCAAAGTCAATTGAGTTAATTCAGCTGAAGGTAGGGTAGATTGAAAATATGTAATAAGTAGAATAAAAATAGAATAAAATGAAAGTGTCAATAGCAGGAAATAGCATGAGATTAGCAAAAAAGAAAATAAAGACATTTAAAAATTAAATTCTTGGATCAAGACAACTGGGAGACAGTGAAACGTACCTAGTGCCGCATCCTCAAGCATGGTAGTCATGATAAGTTCTTGCATTGAACCGTTGACTTGGTAGATTCCCATGCGTTCGCCGGCCTTCCGAGTTAAAGGCAACATTCTTAGTACAGTTAAAACTCATCAGAAGCAAGTGAAGGCAATCCTCTTAACAAATATTCCGTTTAAGCAATGGCATTTAACTTCCTTCTGCACCAGATCCTAGAGCTAAATCCTCCCAACACAACCATGCTTCATAAGGAAAATTCACTTATATAGTCATCTCAGTCCCTTGGTTATTTGTCTTTATGATGCCCGACAAAGTTGTGAAAACGAGGTCAGACCAACACATACACATAAAAAATACAAAGAAACGCAAGGCCACGCCATCGTGCTAGATATATACAATAGCACGAAGTTGATGGTCTTTTTTGTAAGGGTAAAGGAATAGATGCCATAGACTTTCAAAATAGGATCTCTAGTTCTAAGAAAGATTTTTTACTATATGATTGTTCTAATACTTGAATAACCAGAAGCATATAAAAAAGATTAGAGAATGAAACCAAAATATAAAAATAATCAAAAAATAGGGCATAAAGAAAAGCCATGGGAATAAATAATAAAAAACTAAGTAGGAAGGACCGACAAAATAGAAGAGTAAACAAAAAAGAACGGCTGAATACTATGGTAAAAGAGGAGTTAATAATAAATTTAATCAAAGGCATGAAGACCAAGATGGTGACATTATGTATGGTTGCAGTCTCCTTTAGTTGCATAGAATTGATGGGGGACTTTCATTTCGTAGGAAAGTGCGTGTTAAAGAGATTTGTAGGTCGATCTCATCAGAGGAGGACGAATGAATCCTGTTGTACTGCAGCCGTTTGGCTTTTATACGACGTAGAGGTTGACGCAGTCCACGAGACCTACTGCCTCGTTTAAGGTGAAAACGGGGTGAGCTTTTGTCCATCATAGGATGGACATCATCAGAGCTGGGTCTCATTCCTCTAAAAATCTTACGTTAAAACTAGGGCAAGAACACTATCCGGCTCTATCTTACCTCTTACATAGACTCAATAAAGAAAAAGAAAATTAAAAACATAAATTGATATAGAATGTTCCAGCTACTTTTGCACGAGTGGGTGCGTGTATGCATGTGTGTGTGCTAGCGTCCATACGCAATACCAGTCCTAAATCAGAGTTATAAAAAGCTAATGTCAGGCTCTGATTATCAAGGCATAATGACCCAAGAGAAAGCCTTGACCGAGACTGCTTAAGATCGTAAGCAAGAATAGTTTAGGTAATTAGATAGGAGTCTGTAAGCATGCAGGTTAAGTTATAAAACATCTGTCCTAACCTCTCAATCTAGGCCCATCAACGTATAACCCCCAAGGAAAGGCATGATTGGGGCTGCGTAATATGGCACGTCTGGTTTGGTTAATGAGCTCAATCTAACATGTGGGACGAGGGTGAGTGAAGTTAGAACCATCAGCAGGTAGACAAATTGAGTCGCCTTCTTTTTGACGGCGGTTCAGCACACTCTCTCTCCCTCAATCTATCAATCAAGCATAGGTAGTTCTTAATCAACTTTATACCACCGTTCCTCACATTCAACGTATTTCCTAAGTTATTACTTTCAATAGCCTCTCTTATCTTTATTTTAATCACACACGTATCATATTCAACAAACCTACTCATTTGAGACCATTCTATTTCATGTCCAGTTTCTACCATGTGTTAGGCCACTTATAACCGTTGGACCCAGCCTCCTTTACAAGCATTTTTGTGCTCTTCCAATCTATGTCTAATAGGTCGGCATGTCTCACCAACATAACATCGACGAAATAAGCAAACAATTTTGTAGCAGCCGGATTTCGATAATGGATCATACTTCTTTCTAAAAGATGGCATAGCAGAGGAAAGTGTGAGGGTTTCTTTGAAAACTGTTTTTATCCCCCCCTTTCTTACTAATTCGCCTATCTTTTTTGAGAGAAGGCATGACGGGAAAATGTCTTAGTCGGTCTATCTTTGACTAAAGGGTCTCCGTCTGAAAATTTATTCCTCAGTAGAGAGAGATTATTCTTAATAGGGCCCAAAGGATAATTATTTTTTAGGAATAAATTTGTCAGCTGTTGGAACTCTTTAGTCAAATGTTTGCTATCCGCTAGCCTCATAGTCATTGACTTCAAAATTCTAACGTTAGTCATGTAACTATGGTTGGAAAAAAAATTAATCAGAGCCAACATATGTTTGCTTCCTATAAACATCTCTTCCTAACTTACCCTCTTCTCTAATGATGAGAACATTCAGAAAAGACTAGGACTAAATTTCTTCCATTTCCATCGTGAACCTAATGTTCTTTTCACGCTGGTTGAGTGAAAGTAGGAAGCTATCTAAACTGTCCTCACCATGAGGCCAGATGACAAAATAGTCATCCATGTATCTAACCAAAAATGTGGGGGTTAGTGTTGCCTCTTGCCATATAATTGTTCGCCGAGATGGGAGCCAGGCAAGATCCCATCGCTAGTCCTTGTGTTTATTCATAACTTACCATCGAAGGTAAAATATATGGTATCATTGATAGGTTAATAAGTCTAATAATGGAAGCAACACTCAGCCTTATTCCTTGTATTATCTCTGGATGTTTGTATCAGAGCTTGAATAGCTCCTTGAACAGGAATGCTTGTGTACATAGACACAACATCAAAACTCTTCTAAATGTTTCTGCTGCTCAATCAATTTCACAAAATCATACGAATTTTTTACTGAATATAGCCAATAATTGCAGAGTTCCTTAGTTATATGCATAAAAACTGTGAGATTTTCTGTATTACGCTTCCTTTATTAGTCATAATTAATCTTAGAGACACCCTCTTTGTGAACCTTATGGAGACCGTAAGGCGTGGGGACCCTTGCATCTCTCTGGAGTAGTGAATTCATTTTCCACTTCTCCATTTCATTATTACTTACGCATACCTTAAGGGCATCCTTTAGCCTAGTTTTAGGTCTTTCTGTCGGATCTTTCAGTAAAGGGACATTGTCATTTAAATGAAATAGCATTTTTACTACATAATATGACTTATCAATGACTAATACTGCTCCACCTTTGTCGTCTTTCATTACGATTAGTTCACTACCACAAAGATATCTAAAAACCCTACTAAGATAACAATCTTTCTTAGACGGTAGTATATGGTCAAAATGAGGGATCACATCCAGTTAAATACTATTTCTGTGTCTCGAGCTAATTGGCTAACTATAGATCCGCTTTATCATACACATGGTCGATGAAGCAAAGGCTAGAAAATGAGAATTACTCGAGGTCTTTGCCTCAAGTTAGTATCCCAGAGACAGTGTGGGAAATAACGCCTCGAGTAGCACAGATATGCTAGTAGGGGTCGAGTGAAATACTCGAACCAGGGAAATAGCAGACGGATCCTACGGAACAAGAGGGAGACTGATAAAGCCTATGAAAGAAGGATTGCGAAACAATAGGGATGACTCTGATCAACATTCACAGCAGAAGGCTGAAGGGGCTTAAGGGGGTGAAAGCCAATGTGGGATGTAGAGAGTTCTGTCAAAATCAGCTCAAAACGGCACACCATGCCACATTTTAATAAGCAAGTAAAAAATCGTGTCAATGAAGGGGAAAAAAGGGATATAACATTAGGGCTTAACAAAGGGCAGAAGGAGATACCACGATCGTTTAGCGAACATTTTGTCAAATGCTCGACCTTACTCTTTTCTTTGTCGAGTTTTAGTGTGGTGCTAAGACTGACAATGTTCACTGACGATGTCGGCGAAACGTCTGTGAATGTATCACGTCCCCGTTCCGACTGTGGAAATTATCATGTATGCTATGGACTCCGGACTAGATACGTCTCTCTAGATCTTTCTACCAATATGACCAAGTTGTGAAAACAAGGTCAAACAATTACAATAATTATTTTACTTTGGGCTAATCGATAAAATGAGTAGTAAAGATATAGCAAGTAATTAGGTATGACAAAGGCGTGGAGCAAAAAAGGTAAAAATCTTTAATATAGATAAAGATAAATAAAGTAAGGCAGATAAATAATATCTAATCAGCATATATATGTATAACAGAGGATATTTGAATTAGGGGACAAATTCTAGGTCAACCTACTGTGAGAACGTGCCCAATGAAAAGGAAAATCCAAACTATTTCATAAATTTTTCCTATACAAGTAGAATTTCGAGACTAACTGTAAATCATTAATATGAGATCTATTCACACAATTTCGTTTAACGTGATGAATTGCTGGTAGTTGAATTTTCTCACAATAATATGAGTAAAGCTGACTTTTCCATTTAATTTCACATAGCCTTGCCTTCCCAAAACTTCTTCACATCCAGAGTGGACTGCAGTTTCGACCTCGTATAGGTATTATCAACACCATCAGCGGGAGTCGAACCGTGACAGTGCAGAATGTGAGCTTAACACATTAACCACTCGCCCACATTTCCACGAGTGCCCTTGGGTCACAGGACAGATGTGAATTTCAAAGAAGGCTAGGAATTTTCCCATATCACATTATTTCGCGGGATTATCGATGAAGCAAACATATTTTTGCTATAACAATCGACTACATTCAATAGAAACATCAGCTCTACTCAAATCATTGTCGGGAAATGTTATTACCAATCCTTCACCACCTTAAACGAAATATGGTGAATACATCTCACATCACTATTTCATTAAAGCTAAAAAGAAAGTTGCTCTAAATATTGACAATTTGATGGATGATACCACAATAGT